TCTACATATCAGGATAGAAATGGTATGGTATAATTTTCAGATCCCATCTAATATCAAGTCATATTTTAATTTGAATTTAGCAAAAGTCATTTTTTAACATAAATTTAGTTATGAGACTGATAAACAATAGTTCCTAGGCTCTAGCAATCAAAAATTAACCAAATTAGAAAGAGTAAGTCTGTCTGCAAAACGGCTAACTTAGAAATAAATCTATGTGATGTTCCTTCAGGAAAATTAGCAAACAGATGAAATACCAAAGTTGACCTTAATCCAAACCTGCTAAATTAATAATTTAGCTTCAGTTTTGCACTGTGAGTATTAAAGCTTGGGCTGAGATTTTAAAAGATGGTCAGTTCCAGGATTTTCATGGAGCACTAAATGAGAAAAGGAATACAGAGGAAGGTCAGTGCACCTGCTAGAAGACAGGTGTTAGGTAAGCAAGGACTAAGTTTCAGAAGCCAGCTGAGCTATCTAGAGCCCAATGAACAAAACTGGCATATAGCCCCTGAAGCACATATCCTAAGATTTTGATAAAGTACATTAAACACAGCTTCTAGGTATGCAAGCTATATGTGTAATCCAGGAATTTGTAAAGAAGGAATTTAAGGATAAAAGTCCGATGGAATGGGATAAGGATGGGATCCGATCCCGGTCATAGGAGCATGAAAGTGGTATAGAAGAAGTGGGAGCTGGTAGAGATGAGGAGACGCAGCAAGTAGAGATGCAGAACCCAAGTCTTAGTGGAAACCAAACACCAAAATCCAAACTCAGTCTTGCAGACACTGAAAACTCAGGGAAACAGAAGCAGAGCAGCAACAGATCCTAGACGGATCTGATTGGAGGCCAGATCAAAGAATGCAGACAACAAAAGGCTGAACACGGCACAGAAGAACACTACCACCAAGTTTTTTTGACGCTCAGCTGAGCAACTGAGGGAGGAGCCCTGTTGTTCGGGATTCCAGCATAGAATATAAAAAGAGAACAGAACATCCTGGCCAAGAACGTTCTCCACCTTAAGTTTGCAGGTCATGTTTACTCTGCTGTAGTCTTACTAAGGGTTTGGCATAACCTATTCTTCCCTTTCGTTTCTCTAATCATTTCAACTGGGCTGGTAATCCCTGATGAGGGTTGGGGAGCAATAACACCTACTGTTTGAGCTCCTAGAACTGCAATTAACTTGCTACATAGAATGGTGGCAGGTGGAGATTGATAGCTACTATTTCCTTCCTTTGCAAAAAAGGACAAATGGCTCTGTGGTGACTTAGGTTAGGTTGGAGAAGTACTGAAATCAGAGATGACAGAGTTGTTATCACAGAATACATTTTATTTAGAATAAAAATATAAGTGTGTCTATTTATAATAGCCCTACCTTATTACAGGAAAAACTGAAGGCAACTGAAGCATATGGCAGACTAACATGTGATTCAGCCATGAATGTTCGATAAGAATACTACATTACAGAAACTGAAATTCCATAAGGTAATAATGAGAGCAACATATAACTGAAATGGCCACTCTGGTTCCCTGTTCCTGCATCTCTTTCTTCTCCCCTAGCCACAGCAAGGTCCTGGGACCTCCACTAGCGTGCACCTTGGCCTCTTCAGGTGCTCTCCATCTGTATCCTCTATCCCAGACACAGACTCTGACCTGTTACACACAATCCACCTCTTCTCCACTCCAGTAGCAGGATCTTTATGTGATCTTCTGTACCCAAGGGCCGCTATGGGTCTTCTACCCTCCTTCCTTTGAGACTGGAGGCCTTCTCTGCTCTCATCTTCTGTCTGCTCTGATCTGCACTCTCTGAAGATTGCCCACTCACAGACTTGTAGACACTGAGTTGTACTGTTCCACCCTCTTTATGCTGGACCTTTCAGAATTAACTACCAAACTGAATATCCCACCGCTGACAAGCTTTCCCAGCCCTGTCCCCTGCCTGGCTGCTTTTGGCTGGATCTACTTCCAGTGAATACCCCTCTCAGCAAACGTGTCTTATGTCTTGATTGGGCCTTTCCTTTCTTTGAGAAACACTTTATCCATCAATGCTATCAAACTACAATATACAGCATTCAAAATTCAATGTTCCTAGTCATGGCAGGTCGCATTGTGCAGCTACCAATCATTTTTACTTTTCAGAAACACAGTGAATATTATTTTGGATTTAAAAGAGCCAATGTTGTTTTTCATCAGGTTAACAAAACATATGAAATTATGAGTCTTGCAATAGCTCCCTCTGTGAGCACTGCAGCAAAGGAACCCTAAGTAATGAAGTGAGAGGAAAAGGAATGGAAGACAAGAAAGCTACAGAAATGTATTTAAATATATTTAAAATATTTACACATTCATAGCTATTACCAGAAGTAGTGCAAAAATGTGCACTACACTATAAATTATCAGTGAGCATGTCATGTTTGCAGTCCAAAAAACCAAGAACTTAATCATAATTAATAACTGTTTTCTTTTACTTAAATTCTATATCCCAGAATAAAAAAACTATACGCCAAACCGCCCATGTAAGCAATTGAAAGAAAAGAAGGTTAATTTTTTGCCAGTAGATTCTTCCTGCTTGTTGTCAAGTTGATAATAAAACAAGTTAAATGACCTTACATGAACTTAATTTCTAGTAATGTTATTCAGAAAAATAATCTACTTTTGAAATTCTAATTTCAGGCTAAATAATTACTATTTTTGCATTTGTGCAATAGTTCTACTTAGTTTAAATCTCCATCATAGGAAAAGAATGCCTGCTGATAACTTTTCCTTTACATAAATGTGGGCCAATATGCATATTCATTCTTTTTTACCCTAATTTTATAATATTTTAGTTTTTATAATCAACATCGAAAAAATCAAGTAGCTTCTATTAGGAAAGTCAGTAAATGTATTACTGATTTTCTTTTACTACATTTTCTTGTACTTTAATTTTCCAAGTACGGGATTCCTTTTTAAAGACTACCTTATTAGTTAAATATTATACAATTACAGAAATGTTTACACTATAAAAAAACACAATTATCTTTGAAGACTTAAGATTTACAAACCCATTTTTCCCATCTACTTTTAAAAATAATAGTCAAAATAAAATAAAACTCAAGACTATCTAAAACAAAGATTGTTACCCAAAGTAATAAGAAGACATTCAGAGAGGCCAGGCACGGTGAGTCAAGCCTGTAATCCCAGCACTTTGGGAGGTTGAGGTGGGAGGATCACCTGAGGTCAGGAGTTCGAGACCAGCCTGACCAACATAGTAAAACCTTGTCTTTACTAAAAATATAAAAATTAGCCAGGCATAGCGATACACGCTTATAATCCCAGCTACTCTGGAGGCTGAGGCAGAAGAATTTCTTGAACCCGGGAGACAGAGGTTACAGTGAGCTGAGATCAGACCACTGCATTCTAGCCTGGGTGACAGAGCAAGACTCTATCTAAAAAAAAAAAAAAAAAAAAAAAAAAAAAAAAGAAGGCATTCAGAGAAATGATTCTCATTAACTGGCATGATCCAGTGCTAAAGTATTCCATACTATGTAAAACTAAATTTCCATTAATATATAATAATCATTTGTTGATATGACTGTGTATATTTATATAATAAATACCAGACTCACTACGTGCTCAGCAACAACCTCATGTGTTCACAGGAATTGCAGAGTTGAGATAGCCTATGAACCAGAATATGCTGATTTGGTTGGCAGGAAACCAGGATGAAAAAAATGGACCACCATGTTCTCTCATACTGAAACCTCAAATGTTCCCTCTCTTGCCACAAAGTGATTATACAATATGCTGCAAGTCATTAAAGGGTAGAACACTACTAAAAAGCAGTTACTTGGCTACTGAAGTCCTATGACACATTTCTGAAGTACTAGTGGTATAGCCTAAGTCCATTCTGAGACTATTTCAACAAGTCAGATTCAAACATAAATAAATAAACAAATCTGTATTGTATCTCCTGACATTTCCTTTAAAAAGCAGTAGACTTCAGGTCAGTCATAATGGCTCACACCTGTAATCCCAGTACTTTGGGAGGCTGAGGCAGGTGGATCACAAGGTCAGGAGTTCAAGACCAGCCTGACCAAGATGGTGAAACCCCGTGTCTACTAAACATACAAAAATTAGCCAGGCGTCTTGGTGGGAGCCTGTAATCCCAGCAACTGAGAAGGCTGAGGCAGAGAATTGCTTGAACCTGGGAGGCAGAGGTTGTAGTAAGCCGAGATCGTGCCACTGCACTCTAGCCTGGGTGACAGAGTGAGACTCCGCCTCAAAAAAAGAAAATGAAAAAAAAGCAGTAGACTTCAAACTTGAGGAAAGATTTTTAAAAACATCGGCATTATTTTACATGCCTATATACTTCTCAAATATATTTTCTAAGCCTTTGAAGTGGGTAGGTAGTAAGAAAAGAAATGCTGAAAGGTAGACTTGATTCTAGGCTATATCTCAGATGACTCACCAAAAAAATTATCAGTACAGCACTCAATCACCAGAGAGAAGTGATCTTGAATTCTGTTAATTTACCTGCTTTAACAGTTGTTACTCTGGCTTTATAAACTTAGAAAATCATCTTGAACTCCAAAAACTGGCTGAATATTTAGTTTCCTTCTCTGCTATGACACAGAAAATGATGTAACACAATCCAAGGCTTTATCTGAGTCGGTTTGTTGCCATTTGCCCCCAGTAACCTATGCATATGCATAGGTATAAAACAGAGATTTTTAACTTGGCTTATAGCCTAATCATCAGCTTTTAAATTAAAATGGCACTTCCAAATTTAAAATAAAATATCTTACTTTAGTTGTTTCAACTATATTAGACTTTTTTTAAAAAAAGATTTCCTAAACCAAAGGGGAAAATACAGCATTAGCAATATGGTGAAGAGCTCCAGCAGGCTTCATCTGGCCACAGTAAAGAATGTTCTATTGAGAGAGATTAAAATGAGCAAATAGGCCCAAAGAAACCTTAACCCTCATTTATTCCCTGTAGTAGACCAACAAAAATCAAATAAATACCTCAAACAGAAAGGTGACATAGGTCTTTCATCTTCCTGTGAACTAAAAGGAAAATAAATTTTGAGTTAATATAAGGTCTGTTAATATAACATGTCAATTTTACTACAAATGTTATACCTGTCAAAAATTTGGTTTAGCACATTAAAGCCAATCTCGTGATGGAGTCAGGTTAGTAAAACACGCTCTACCTTGGACCTAGCCAAGGTCAATTACTTCTTGTCAGGAGACTAGCAAGTGAGGCTTCTTTCAAGATCAGCTAAGACAAACGTCATTCACATTACACTTTCAAGAGGAAGCTTTTTACTGCCTTATTCTAGAGGCCCAATTCAAATATTCGTATATTACACATAAGCCCTTAAAATAATTACATGTGAATTTATCTCAACAAAGCTGATTGCAGTTAATTAACATGATGATGAAAATATGAAACAACCAACAAAACACTCCTGTTAAGAGTGAGCCACTTCAGGAATGATTCCCTAACAATGAAGAGCACATCAGTAAACAGCATCACACTCACAGGCTCTGTGTCCTTCTGTAGTTACTAAGTATTAACTAGTGTGTATAACATGAAAGGACACAAATAATATCATTAAAAAGTTTAATTAGTTTAAAAGTTTAAAAGTTCCTCAAGCACACACAAAAAATATTAAGCTTAATATATAGAAAGTTAATTTTTTTTTAAGAGACATAGTTTCATTCTGTTGGCCAGGCTAGAGTACAGTGGTATTATCATGGTTCACTGCAGCCACAAACTCCCAGGCTCAAGTGATCCTCCCACCTCAGCCTGTGGGGTATCTGGGACCACAGGCATGTGCCACCATGCCAGGCTAATTTTTCATTTTTTTGTAGAGACGGAGTCTCACTATGTTGCCCAAGCTGGTCTTGAACTCCTGGGCTCAAGCCATCCTCTTGCCTCAGCCTCCCAAAGTGCTAGAATTACAAACATGAGCCACCATATCTGGCCTAGAAATTTAATTTTTAAAATGTAAAATATATGCTATATTTTGTTTTCCTTCCTTTAGCATGTTTTATTTTTCCTAATAAATGATCTCAAAGCGTAGATTGAGTCCCTCCCCCTCGCTGTCTACTGGAGTGATCTTTGAACTTTTAAAATTATGCACTCATAAAACTTACTTTTCAGTAGCCACTCCCTTCAAATATATAACTGATTAAATATACATCTATATTATGTACATCATTAAACAGATAAAAGTAGAAAGATAAAATATTAAATAAAAGAGAAGGTCTAATATTTTCTTTTGTACCCCCAGGGTTCCTCTTGAATATCACCTGGGGTGTTCACCACCTTACAGCATCTGGAAAAGCAACTAGTTAACTTCAGCATTCTCCTTCTCTCCCTTTTTGCTTATTTTTAACTTTCTTAAGTATCATTCATGAAAAGAGAAAAGTTTGCTTCGACTGATAGTATTAAACTTGCAGTCAATAAACTCTTACTACAGAGTTATACTGTAAAACACACACACACAAATAAAATCCTGTCCTGGAAGTTGAAAAGGTCTTAACATTTTAGAAGGAATATGGAACATAAAATGTGACACACTGTTTTTCATTCTCTTATGATTTGGATTTCCAATTTCAACATCTATCGGCCATTCTAATGCCCATGTTGCCAAATACCTTAATGTTTATAACTAATGGTGTTAACTCTTCCCAGGTGAGGGTAAGTGATGGGCTGTAATGTGGATGGGCTGAGGGCAAAGCTTGTAGAATTAGGTTGCAGGGTTGAAGAGTTACAGGGGACACCACCTGGGAACTGTCCAGGTGTCCAGGAAGAAACCATCCGAAACGGTGCTTTTACAGGAGGTGACTACTTTTAAGTCAGCCTGACAGAAGTCACTTACACATTTGACTTCCAAATATTCCTAGAAAACACTAAACAAAATAATTATTAAAATGTTAGAACTGAGTTTGTTTTCTGATCAAGAAATTTAGATTTTGTTACTCTAGGAAAGGACTCTATGTTTTGTAAAATGAATGTTTTGCTACATACTTTCTTTGCCCAGAACAGATCCTTTACTCTAACATGTAGCAAACTGAAGGAAAACTAACATGCTTACTGTAACATTCTTTGATATGCATTCAATTAGCAATATACTTGGTTTTCTTAAGTGCTTTTGGGAGATGATTTAAATGGTGCAGGGCTCTGAACACAGCTATTCATGTGTTTTAGCTATTTGCACGTCTGTGTGTGTGTGCACACGCTAAATTTCTTTGCAGCAAACAGAAGCAATAAAAATCAATTCTTGTTTTCCTTTTATCTCCCTCAAATATTTCATATCAATTATGACTGCAGACCAGATCCTACCACAGGCCCTACATTAATTATATCAATTAGATTCTCACAAAACCTTCCCTAGTACTGGCTTTTTGCTCCTTTTTAAATTCAGATGAGAAAAGCAGTCTCAAAGTGAGTACATAATTCATTCAGATGATGCAGCTAGTAATGTGTGTATTATATGTTAGTCCATTTTTCTCAATGTTTTCCCTTCATTTTTAACCTATTAAAGTATGGCAGTATGACTGGGTTGGTGAAGAAAATGCACTCGATGGCTGGTCTGCATTCCAGCAGCCACAAGATCTTGTGGACTTGATAAGCTTCTTGTCATGCTTCTGATTATGGCAACTCTACATCACCTTAATCAAAGTCCATTTGTAATGCATTATGCCTGACAGCACTTATAAAGTGATTAATTTATTAAAATGTACTGGCACAATGTCAAGAATGTCTCTTGATAGAAACACAAGATTTTAATCATAAGCAAATATTTTTCTGGCTACATTTGCACAAAGTAAATTCATCAATGGAAGACAAAATAAGAAATTCTTAATTTGGCTATGCCCCTGAAATTTGACCAGTTTTAAGTGTTTTAAAAAAGAAAATGTAAGCACTAAAATTTAAATAAAATGAAACAGAGTCAGTATTACATCTATCAACAATCAGCAGTTAACAGGGGAGCAATCAATGTACAGTATTTGAAAATTATATTTGGAAACAAAATGAGGGTAAATAAATCAATTTTTATTTTAAAAGCATATTTATCTTTTCCCTTTCATAAAAGTACCCTTTTCTGGGAGTTAGTAATAGAATCTAAACAAAGGAATATATTTTGAAACAACTAAATCATTGATTTAGCTTAATCGAATTGATTAAGCTAACTAATTTTAGAAATAAATTTAATGCATTGATTTCAAAGGCAATTTTAAAGAAAAATGGCCAAGGACAATTCCTCCGAATAACATCAAGAAAATAAACTTTTCCACAAAATGTACAAACCAGAATGCACATTTGAAAAAAATTACCATTTTTAAATAGCTGTACAAAGATGTTGTACTATTATCACAGGCTCCAAAACATCTTTAACAAAGTTGTTTCCACCTATTCCTGGTTTTGTGTCAATCTGTCATGTTCAATGATACCAAATGATTTCACCTGAATTCTAAATTGAGCACAATTTGTCATAATTTTTTCCTAAATATGAAAATGAGAAGTAATTCTGATTCACTTTTAATTTTTAAAAATAAGCACATGTTCTATGAATGAAGAAGGAAGTGTGTGTCATAAAGTTAAGCCAATGAAAAATGGAAACAACTTAGAATTCATTCGATTTCCTCCTTGGTTACCAGTAACAACTCCATGTTTTAATTATTTCCTATTTGCTGACTCTCAATAATGGCCAAGCTTAAGCAGCCAATTGCAAGAAGTTTACGTTTTAAAAAAAGCATCAAACATACATTGAGAGATTTGGGCCTTCACCTCATTTTTGTGATTATGCTTAATGCCCTCAGATATGTGGTACTATATTCTCAAAATAACTGCCTGTGGGAAGAACATTTATCATATAGAAGTAAATAATAGTCTAAGAATGCCAATAACTTAGATATTTTTATCTAAGTTTTAGCAGAGTCCTAACTTATTTTTATACAGCTTGAAATTGGTAAATGCACATAAATAAATGACATCTAGACTTATAATCTCTTCATGAACTGCACTAATTTCTAAACTGACGCCACAGAATGCACTGCAATGCCTATCAGTTTAATTACACAGCAAGCTAAAGGAAATCATGAAAGGCATAGTGTTGTATGTGTCTAAGAAAAACCAAATAATGTTGGGAGAATTCCCAGAGCAAGTACCCAGAATGGACCTTCAATTATTCGATCAAACCACCATTCCATTCAATTCCCTTTTTAACTCTCCAATTAGTTCAACTTTCTAATTGGTTAATGTGGCTGGCTACCAAAAAATTAACATAATTTGCATATTTAGCTAGACACTTTAAATATATTTCTCAGTGATTTGAGCAGAAGAAATAGTTTGTAAGTGTTCCCTGAGTACTGAAAAGTACAGGAAAACCAGTAAATGCTAAGAATTAGGTCCCATTCATAAGAAACTAGAAAAACCATCTACGGGGCTTAGAAAACAAAACTAGAGTCCAAAGAGAGAGAGAAAGTGAGGGACAAGTAAAAGAAAAGCATAAAGTAAACATTTTTTCAGGAACTCAGGCTTTTTCCACATATGCTACAGAATGTAAGGGGAGGAATCTTCTTAGAGAATGATAAGCGAAGTTAGCACATTTTCCTTTCCTTCCTTGTTCTCAAAACATAAGTGCCACACGTGTACTTGAGCATTTTCAATGTATCCACAGTCTCAGTCATTAACCATGCCCTTTGCCAACTATGGAGGTATGTGGCAGCCTCTGTTCTGTTGCTTTTTTGGTTTGGCCCCATTCAAGAACATTTAAAAAAAAAAAAAAAATCCCTGCTTTTTTTTTTTTTTTGAAAACAAATGTAAGAGTTTTCAGATCAGTTCATAACTGTTTGCAGCTGTCATTTGTTGGAAGTGGGGGGTATTTTACAATTCTTTCTTGTAAGCCCAGGCAGCTTGTTTATAGTTTTATTATTTGCACTTTGTGCCTAAGAACACTTAGGCAGTAGAAATACAGATTACTGCAGTTCAAGGGCAAATAGATTTTTCCAGACCAAAGGTTAAATGCAAAGAGCTAAAGTTGTTATTATTC